GTTGTATCGGAAACATATGTACTGGTCCTGTAGCTTATACCGGTTGTAAGTGTCAAGTTTTCATTTTGACATGATATGTGCGACAAAGATACCAAATAATGTAAACCTTTCGGCATAGTAAATTCGTTATGGTGTCTAAAGACACTATAACTAATAATATATCCGAAGGCATTTCAAAATCCTTTAAATTCAACATTGTTCAATATTTCCCCTTAATAATTTCCCAAATTGAATTCCAATTTGATGGTAATCAAAAAACACTTAATGTTTTAAATATTTGTCATTTGTTGTTTGCTGATGGCCGACAGATTACAAATAATACAAATTTTACTTGATGGTCTTAGAGTGTTTTATGTAAAAATAACCTAAAGATTAACAGTGACAAAACCAATGTGTAGTGTTTGGCAAATCAAGTGAAGTAGAAGAAAGAAGGCATGCGCCCTGGATCATACACATACCAGTCACGCGCTTTGTAAAAATGTAGGCATAACATTTGAAGCAAATGGTAAACTTAAAACTTGTGCTAAACCTGTCTTTGAATGGCATGTAGAAGTGATACACATCACATCATGAAGGAGTAAGCATATACTTTACCCCATGCCTTACTCTTTGAATAGTGAGAGAGTAAATCAAAGCGACAAAATCCCTCCATAGTCACAAGACATCCTTGCTGAAAGCAGAGTCCATTGAACGACTCTGGCTATATCATGAGCATGTGTTCATGAATCACAATCAAATAGTGATGTGACCAGGTGTTTGCGAACAGGTGAGCGTATCCTGCCCCACTGGTGGCACCCGCAAACACGCGCAAAGCTGAGTCAATTGTTCACCTGAAAATCATGGGAACATACGTTTTAAGTCAAAATAGGGAACTGCATTCGACGTCATTTTTGTCACTGATGCGTCATGTTTGGAAATGTCCTCCACATGTCTACCATAACACTTTTTGAAAGCTTTACTGAGGGCTAGAATGTTGTAACCTTCATCAAACAACGTCTGAGCAAGAGTTGTATGACGCTCTCTGAAATCGTGGTAGAACGAGCATGTGCGATTGTACCTCAAAATTTGTGACATGTAGACACCAAGGGTGGGGCTGCAGGAATATTGTTGGTATGAAGGGAAGGTTGACTATGGGAAGTGTCACACATTCTTGTAGAGAGTGTTTCGTCCCTCTCAATCTTTATGCTTATATGAAACTGTTACAGAGGAAGCGGTCTCACTGATTTCTTTTATTTCTAGTTCAGGTGGGTAAACCATTTGAAGTCACTTGGCTAATTGACGTTATTGAACGATATGAGAACATCGACATACTTGAAGCTTAAGTTAAGCGTCTTGGCTAAATTACCTTGTTTTCACTTTGCCAATCCGTGCAGCATATCTGATTCATATGCATAAAGAAACAGATCAGCATGAAGGCTAGCTCAATTGGTGCTCTACTTCTTGCCTAAATGTCCTGCCCCCAAATTGTACATGTTATCAATGAGGAAGACCAGCATTTCGTAAACTTCAGGTGGCATTTGCTTCCATTTTTGACCTGAACCTCTGAAGATAGATCTGTAACTTAATGTATGGTCATCACGTTTTGTAACAAAAGCCCCTTGTATCAAGGAATGAAGTTTTGCTTAAGTTTGTCATGTGGGATAGTGGTGAACAAATTTGAACAATTGAATGTTTTAACAGATCTGAAACTGGTTCTTTTCTAAGATTGTAAAGAGTCAAGGAAATCCTTTCAGTTTTTGAAAATGCGCAAAAAATACGCCTGAACTATTTTTCATATCATATCTTTGTATCTTGAAATCAATGAATCAGTACTTACACGCTCTGTATATGTGTATATATAGATGGACTGACAGTACCTTAATGGAATACATGTACCTTTCTTGATTGGTTATATGCATTAAGGAATTGAGTATAGAACAAAGGATTGTTTTGTCTTCACGTACTCCAGAGATGCATTCTTCTCAAGCATAACCCTTCAGACATGATCGTCTGTCTCAGATCAAAACAACTGCGAAATATCTATTGATCTATATATGTATCTTGGCAACACGCCTGTAGCCCGACACAGCTTATTTGCGATATGTTTCAGTCACTTTGTAATGAAATCTCATGAACATGTGTTTCCAATTTCACTTATTCTTACCTTTGTTGGGCTTCATGCTGGTTTTATCAAGTAAGTACACTGTTTCTGTCTTCTTATTTTGGATACTGACATTGTGAGATGTTTCCGTTACAATATTGGAATAATAATAATAATAATAATAATAATAATAATAATAATAAACATTAAAAACCCGCTTCTTTCGGCACATACAAAACCCTTTTTAAGCTCATATATGAACATGTTCAAAGTCGGAGATAGTTTTATCCTAATAGGTAGTTTGTTCCACAATTCCGGGTGACAACATTGAATGACGTCTTTTCATCATTTGTGTGTTGATGTAGAATTGACAAGATGTTCTGAATTTCCGACCGTTAGATCATACTGATACCAATATACGAGGCAGAGATTTCTTCTGGTTTCTACTGGAAGCTAGTGAAGTAACATCAAGACTGTTGTAATGTTGAATAGTTTCAGGTACAGGATACAACCCTAGCTGCTGCACGTTGTGTTCTCTGAATATTCTCTAACATGACTTTGTACATGTCTGCTAGACAGTCGGATGGCGGCTACCCCGTTCCATTCTGCGTTTCGTACTTAGGCCACTGCTTACTGACGTTGAGTCAACGGACCGCAAGCGTTGACATGGACGTTGGTTTCGGCTACCGGGAAACGGCAGGAGTAGAGCCCCGGTTCGGTTAACAGAGTTGCAGGCTTGGTCACTGCATTTTGAGTAGAGGCATTTCCTAGGGCTAGGGTTTCATTAATTGCTGGCGGGTCGGAGTGATAATGCTTAGGTGAACGGGTTGCTATCGGCTCCCTGTCAACCACGTTAAGTAGCGTCCAGTCCGTATTGTCTCGGGTGCCATCTAATGAGTTGCAGTATTTGGTAATGTGTGATTTTATGATTTTATTATCGATGTCTATTTAGAATGACGGAATGCTAACTTTGATCAGGGTTAAGACATTCGAGGCCTTACCAAAACTTTCACGACTTTGCGGTGGACATTTGGGAATAAAAACCGCAAAACCCTTATCATATTCAATAGAGTCAATTGTTCGATTGAGACTAAATCGTGAGCATGAGTTTATGAAGTCATTTCCGAGTTTGGCGCATCTGTCTGAAGCGGTTCCCTGTTTTGGCTTGTGTCGTATGTTCTCGGGGTTTTTTTCCGGTGAGTGGTGGGCTTGCCTTTGCATGTGTTTTTACAGGTGTCACCGGTGGGACAGGTTACGCCCATCTTTTCGCGAACACCTGATGTCGTCTCAGTTTGATGGGGGTTCATAAACACTTGCTGATGATATAGTCGGAATAAACACTTGCTCATGATATAGTCGGGATAAACACTTGCTCATGATATAGTCGGGATAAACACTTACTCATGATATAGTCGGAATAAACACTTGCTCATGATATAGTCGGAATAAACACTTGCTCATGATATAGTCGGGATATATACTTGCTCATGATATAGTCGGAATCGTGAAGTGGACCCTGCTTTCAGCAAGGATGTCTTGTGACTATCGAGGGGTTTTGTCTTTTTTTATTCATTTCAATGACCAAAATCATTTGCACGAACTTGGAATATTACACATAGAATTTACCATGATGATAATAACGTACTATATCGAATGACACAGAACTAACGTTTGTAACAGGCATATTCAGAGCCGAAAAGATCCTAAGGTGTTTAGAATAATTTTAGAATATGAGAATATTGAAAAAAAGTGGTTTCAAAAACAAAAGGTGGTCGAATTCTCAAAAAGACATCGAATTAGGTAATAATGTAATAACATAATGTTGATCGCTGTTACATTAAATCTTTAGGAAGTAATGTTGTCCATAATGTTAGTACAAACACAGCAGTATGCGTAGAGATCTACGCCTGTCTCGTTTTGGATTCCCACTATACCTTCTACCTTCTATGGCAATTTCCCCAAATCATCTAAAGTGCTTGGTTAGGAGTTACAATACATTGTGAGTTTTCGTCACTCTGGTTTTACGAAACGAGCGTCAGAATTTGTGTGTGTCCCGAGCGAGTTTCGTAAAATCAGTATGAGACACATGCGAGTGTAATAATTTCTTTATTACCCATAATTTCTGAAACCTATTGAGCTCTCCTTGAACAAAATGTACTAATCGTACTCTACCGTCTTTGAAAAACACAATTGTCGAGTGTCAAATAAGATTTGTATGACGTAAACAATACATTGATGCAGGAACACCTGGTACCATCACTATTTTATAGTGGTTCATGCTTATGATCGGAATTGTACAGTTAGCAGAGATTTATTTTGGTTTTGGAAGGTTGTTTTTTTCTTTTATTCACATTTTTTGTTCAGTGTCATCTTCTGCCTTAGTCTGACTTTTATCTAGCAGAACACTATAATACAAGACACGTCACCTTCATACAACGCTTGATCATATGAGTACGTGTCTCGTCTATATAAAGCCAACTGATCAAAACGCTACACGTAAAAATGAAAACCTCCCTAGAGAGGTAACAGACACAAAAATACCCCGCATCTCAATTCCCCTGTAGGGAATATATACAGTATTAGTTTACAAAATGAAACATCTGGCGTTTCTATATCCGACTGTGGCCACCACAATGTGCAGCGTGACGACATAATAGTGAACTGCAGTGCAAAACTAAACATTGCTTGCTGAATTTTCTTTTGGGGCGCACTCTTCATGTTAGCTAGGTAGTTGTGCTAAACACGTTTATTTCCATGCCGCTCATGTATGCGAGTAGATTCGGTATTATGGAACACATTATGTTTATCTTTGAAATAAAATTCACCTACCCAGTTAATCTTTCAATCGTTATGGCAAACGTCTTGTGTTGATGAGCTCTTCATAATAATGTTTTATGTGGTTTTTGTTTTCCTTATTCAGCTACTGCTGGTCAAGATCAAAGAGGGACGGAGTTTATGATGTCATTTATTCACGCCAATAAGAATACCGGTCACGTGATCCTCCTAATCTCAGCTGAAAATGGAGCTTTTGTGACGATCACCATCCCACTTCTGAGTCAACGCCTCACAAAGGACATAGCACCCGGGGAAACATGGAAGCCTCACCTACCCACAGAGTTGAGGTACACTGCTTATTTTACAACTGTGGCATCTGCCGTGAATGTCACTTCTACATCACCTGTGACAGTGTACGTCTACGATGGGGTTCCAATCAGATCCTCTGGATACATGGCACTTCCTCTACACGCGCTGTCCACGTCCTATGTCGCAGTTACATACATTGGTCAGATGAACACTGCTTATCCTGTGTTCCTTCTTGTTGCCATCATGAATGACACCACAGTGGACGTTTTGTACAGGCTTTCCAGTGGTGAATGTGGTGAACGTACAACTGGGGAGTCTTCTAGCCACACCCTCCAAGCATATGACGTTTATGGTCTACAATGTACTGGGGACTTCACGGGGACGTATGTTGTCAGTAACAAACCTTTCGTGGTTATCTCTGGACATCAATTAATGAATATAAGTGGATCTAATGTTGATACTCTTCAAGAGATGTTGATTCCTGTTGATCAGTTTGGTCTGAGTTATGTCCTGATTAGTCATTATGGCAGCGCAAGGGGATCCATCAACAGAGTCGTTTCTTCTTCTGACAACACCCGGGTCGTGTCCAGTACTGGAGCTGTCTTCCTACTTAATGCGTACGATTATGTGGACATTGACACGGATGAAAGTGGGCAGCAATGTATAAACTCAAATTTTCCAGTTCTTGTGGTTTCCTTCTGCAAGTCGAATAACGCTGAGAAGTTTGACCAGAGGCTAGCAGATGCAGCGATGTATCTCGTACCCGCAACCAACATGTTCACCACAAGCATATATGTCGACTATGGCCTAGCTATCGAGCTGGATGTAGCTGAATATGTGAATATCGCCTTTGTGTTTAACAGACAGGATACTCCCGACTTTTCAGCTTCTACAATTGTCCACGAGGTCATCTCAAGCTGCCCTTATGACGTGTACACAATGACAGTAACAGAATGGCCAGTCGTGTTCTCTGAAGGTTCCCTCAAATTTGGCGCTTACCTCTATGGCACAAATAAAAACAAGTATAATGGAGCAGCTTTACCTCTCAATATGAACTTTGGTAAGCCATATATCTAATATACCTCTCTTCACAGTAAAGATGATTTAAGAGTACCTAGCGTCGGACCAATATGTTTACAGGCCATTCAAGTTAGGTGAGGTGAGGTTTTACGTCGCATTCAAGATTATTGCACTTATGTAGCGACGTGCATGTTGCATGTTGCATGTTGCATGTGTGTGTGTGTGTGTGCGTGTGTGTGTGCGTGTGTGTGTGCGTGTGTGTGTGCGTGCGTGTGTGTGTGCTAGTCCGAACCGATTTTATAGTGCGAGCCCCCCTGAGATATACCATGCATGTTTTCTTTAATTTCTACTATCTTGTTTTACAGGTAACAAACTTGTGGCGGCTTCTTCTTCTTCTTCTTCTTATTTTACCTCACGTTCTTTTTCTTCTTCTCTTTCCTTTGCTTCTCCGTCTTCCTCTCCTTCCTTTTCGTCTTCTCATATTTCGCCTTCTCATTTTTCCTTTTCTCATTTTTCGCCTTCTCCTTCTTCTCCTTCCTCTCCTCCTTTTCCTTCTCCCTTATTTCCTTCTTTTATTTCGCCTTCGTTTTCGTCTTCTTCGTCTTCTCTTGCCTTTGCTTCTCCGTCTTCCTCTCCATTTTCTTTTCCTTCTTCTCCTTCTCCTTCTTCACCTCCCTTTTCTTCTCCCTTTTTTCCTTCGTTTACTTCGCCTTCTTCTTCTTCTTCTTCTTCTTCTTCTTCTCCTCCTCCCTTTGCAACATCCGAATCGAGTAGCGTCCAATCATCCTCTAACCATGACATGTATGAGTTGACATCTTCCATGCCTCAACAGAAAGAATGTGGATGTCATTGCAAGACCCATGTTCCTTGGAACATCACCGAGGAGCTGTTTGGGATGTTACGGAAAGACATTATGGACCTTCTTCTTCTGGAGACTAAGAACCTATCAAAGACTATCAGGAAGCTGACGAGTGCCCAGGACAACAGACCCAGTGCCGTCACTATAGGATCAGTTGGAATTACCTTTGTTGTTCTTACAGTAATTGTCATTTGTGTTCCCGATGTAATGTCTGTCCTGAGATGTCTTTTCACTAAAAACAAACACCGCCCCAAAGAGTATCAGTTTGTTTGCAATGTAAAATAGGTGATCTTGTGGTTAAAGTGTTCGCTCGTCACATCAAAGACGCTGGTTCGAGTTCCCATACAGGTACAAAGTTGCTTTTTTTAGGTGGTGTAAAATCCAATTTACTCACTCTTTGGGATTGAGTCAAAAGGCATCTTATGTTAGTAACCTCTGGCACAAATGTTTTATGACAATATTTGGTTTCGTGTACATGTAGACATATATAAAGCTGTGGTTTTCAATATTATAGTGGGTTCAAATCACGGATTCATCCTGAAAATGGCCCAAGTTTTTCACCTCTACGCCTATGCTGATTGGGTTTCAAACATACGTCGAAAATGTCTTCGATCTAAGTTTCTTGTCTTTCCTTGTACATTACACTGACAAGCCCTGGTCAGTAATATCGTCAACAAAACGGGACCCAAACGCCTCTCAAAAAGGTACCCAACTATATTTATATTGCTATTGATAATTACCAACTACGAACAATCTTTTTTGTGCTGATGACAATCTTTTGCTATGGCTCATTGAAAAAAGCAAATTCCTTTTTCTTTTTCTTTTCAAATTTACATTTAAAAAAACTGGCATGCGATGATGTCGTATTGGACAATCACGTTACACACATGAGTATATATTGAACGGTGAGGATCCTACGCTCCTCTTTGTGATGAGAGAATCACAGTTAAGCATGTCTAGTTTGACTTTGTTGGTATTTCCATCACAATGGATACATATTTCAAGTTTTCATCCATAAAGGATCTTTTGAATAATGTTAGTCCTCATTTAATTATTATTTGGGGGGGGGGGGGGGGGGGGGGGGGGTGTCATAGAATTGATGAATATATTGTGATCCACATAGGTAGTTGTTTTATGAATTGTTAACTAAGATTGTTAGTGGCTGTGTTCACGTAATGTAACATTGAGAGGTATCGGAAGTACATGTCATTCGGAGATTTATATTTTCGGCTTAACTTGCAAACAAACCCAAGCAACCAGAGGAATTGTGTAACTCCTGCTTTGATACCAAGAAGGTAGCAGAGGTACCGTAAGTCCCCATTGTCCTTACTTTGGTTGCCTAACTTTAGTTCCTAGTGATCTGTAGCCCATTTTTATATTGTATTGTTATGTATAGTTTAACATATATATCTGTGATAGTCTTGTTATTTTACTGTCCTTTATTGACAGTTTTTTTTATAACATGTATTTAGTATTCATGAAAATCTTTCCATGTAGTCACTATATACTGGGTATACTGCATGACAGTCTACAACCGATTGACGTCAATATACCAGAGACACACAACATTGTCGAACTGGGCTGCTTGGACGTGGATGATCAGAATCTGGTGTCGTATCGAGTCTAGCAATGGTTGATGAGTGAATTGTATGGCAACATGGTGTTGAGTGTGTCTGGCATTCAACATGCCTGATGGCCTGGAATTCCCTGAAGTGGCATTGTTGTGGTAGGCGACCAAACGGACCATGTTCCAATGTATGCACCTGCAAATCCCTACAGTCATGTACTGTTTCCTTTCTGAAATGTCCGTGTTGTTATGTCTATAGAATATACCTTAGTCTGAGTTCTGAAACATCAGAGGACGTGCACACCGACCCCCTGTAACTACAGCTATGATGGTCATACACTTCATGTTCAGGGGTGGTGGGTGGTGGGGGGGGGGGGGGGCTAGTGGTTAAAGCGTTCGCTCGTCACGCCGAAGACCCGGGTTCGATCCAAGACATGGGTACAATGTGTGAAGCCCATTTTTGGTGTCCCCCGCCGTGATATTGCTGGAATATTGCTAAAAACGGCGTAAAACATACTCACTCACTCACTCGTGTTCAGGGACCAGAACTTGACACCCGACATGTACCTTTTGCGTTTTGGAAACACAAATTTAGATACATCCATGTAAATGATTGAAGATGCAGTTGTATAATGGTATTGTGTTGACATGCAGGTTAAGATCACTAAATGTTCACCAATATTGATCCTATAGATTTATCAGACGATTATGTTAATATCCAAACTCTGGCCTTTATCCTGTCCCACACTGAAGCACATATGGATGTATACTCCCCAATGAGCTGACAAATACTTGTTGAGTGCACACTGATCCATTGACTGGGTAATAAGTGCATTTTGAGCAACCACTTAGTTGAAGGAAAACAGCGCCGAACAAATGCACTTTGAACAATATTGTAAAACCAAAACTTATAAATATAGGGTTTGCTCAAAAGGTATAATCTTTGCTTTACTTGCTGAAATTAGTGAGACACTTCAAACCATTCTTACGTAAACAGTGCTCCCATTCTCTCATATAGCAGTATTGGTATTGAACTTAAAATGCCTAAGTAGCTTTGTCAAAGATACTCATTTGTTTAATGGTGTTTAATGGTATACTTGTGATTAGTTACATTGTACGTATACATGTTTGTGCCATCAATATGAAGTGGTTGTTTTTGTCTAGACTGAAGGGATCAGGTGCAGAAGCATGTTGGGCTATTCCAACAGAAGGTAGAGGGCATCAACATGAGTTCAGTAGTTTGTCTCATTGCTATTCGGTAAACCTAAATGTTGTCACATTGCTTCTCAGTCTTCTTAATGTCCTGTGTTTTCTTCACCAGAAGGGACCGCCTCCGTGGTCTAGTGGTAGAGCATCCGCCCGGAGAGCGGAAGGTCCGGGGTTCTATCCCCGGCCGCGTCATACCAAAAGACGTTAAAAGATGGTACTTGTTTTTACCCTGTCTGGTGCTCGGCATTAAGGGGCTAAAACAAGGTCTGGTCGGCTCGGAGTCCGTATACTGTGTCTGAGTGGGATATTCATGTTAAACTGCGGCATGGTATCTCAGTGAGCTAGCACTATAAATCGGCATCAGTCCGGACTAGTACAAGCAGCCACACAAACACACACACGTACATGCACGTCGCTATATAAGTGCAATAATCTTGGACGCGACGTTAAACCCCATTTCACCTCACCTCACCAGAAGGAATGTCTCTCTCAATATCCCTTTGGAAGGCTGTAAGAACGCATATTTAATGTTAACCTTGAGGATGGACTACAGTGTATTTAAAGACGAGATATGTCCCAAACCTATATTCAAACCCGGGATACATTGCTAGGATATTTGAGAATAATGTATTTGGATTATCTGTGTGTGTTGCGTAGTTTGTCTAACATTCTGTACTCTCAATCACTTGTCACTTGGCAGTTTCAGTTGGCTTAACTGTGAGCAATGTAAGACCGAAGTTATTTCTGTTGGATGTCAATTGCTTACAATGTTCAATTTGGAATCAGATTTTCCATCATATAACTAATGGTAAGGCCTTCTTCCTTTATGTTGAATGGTGGATTACAATATTTATTTTCGATCCTGTTTTCGACGGTAGTGTGATCATTTAAAAAACTAAATCGGTTAAAGTGTTTCGCCATTGGTTTTCGTCGCGCTTTGTGTAAGCCAATGCTGACTGCATCTCAACGTTCAACTCCATTACCATCCTCGATTATTATAGCTCCATTCTCTGATGGGTAATACCCTGGATCTAGCTCCGTTTGAGTCCAGTTCGCATGACAAGGCATTAAAATAGATGTGCCAATAAATTACAATAAGTTCTGAGATACATGATGTGGGAGGTCACTGATAAGATAGATGGAGATGGCGAGGTCATTGACAAGACGAAGCTGTGGTAGTGAAGTGTTCCAGGGTATTTGTCAAATGTATTGGAGTTATCATATCATGGATGATCAAGAATGCTGAAATACGGGAACTGTCAAAAGTGTTATTTGACCAATATCGACAGAAATATCGAGTGTACTAATGTTTCCGATATTTTTGCAATGTAGACTTTAGCGATTCCCTATGCTGATTGGACTGAAACGGATGACTTCAGAAAAGGTAATCTGTAGGGTTGACATTTCCTACGTTTTCCTTCATTTGCTCTCTCAAAATGTCAATGAGCAGTATATGGAATAAACTACCCGAAAGTCGGATGTACAGATTACCCTTCTCCCGTGAATGAATGATGCAAATAACTCGACTAAGGCTCGCGGGGGTACATCTATAATTCAAATGAGTCAGATAATACACAATGCCTCGTTGTGCTTTTGTTTTTCTCCAATGTTTGCCTACTGCAGATTGTTCCTACATGTATGTGTTATGCTTGTTTTTAAATAAAAGGAACAGTCTATTTACAGTGCTTACGTCTTGATTTTTATAAAGATACAGAGTACATTACAGATCACATATTGGGCAGGTGCATTTACTGATGTATTGTCACAGTACATCAAACAGATCACATATTGGACAGGTGCATTTACTAATGTATCGTCACAGTACATCACACAGATCACATATTGGACAGGTGCATTTACTAATGTATCGTCACAGTACATCACACAGATCACATATTGGACAGGTGCATTTACTAACGTATCGTCACAGTACATCACACAGATCACATATTGGACAGGTGCATTTACTAATGTATCGTCACAGTACATCACACAGATCACATATTGGACAGGTGCATTTACTAACGTATCGTCACAGTACATCACACAGATCACATATTGGACAGGTGCATTCACTGATGTATCATCACAGTACATCACACAGATCACATATTGGACAGGTGCATTTACTAATGTATCATCACAGTACATCAAACAGATCACATATTGGACAGGTGCATTCACTGATGTATCATCACAGTACATCACACAGATCACATATTGGACAGGTGCATTCACTGATGTATCATCACAGTACACCACACAGATCACATATTGGACAGGTGCATTCACTGATGTATCATCACAGTACACCACACAGATCATACATTGCATAGGTGCATTCACTAATGTATCATCACAGTACATCACACAGATCATATATTGGACAGGTGCATTCACTGATGTATCATCACAGTACATCACACAGTTTATATATTGCACAGGTGCATTCACTGATGTATCATCACAGTACATCACAGATCATATATTGCACAGGTGCATTCACTGATGTATCATCACAGTACACCACACAGATCATATATTGCATAGGTGCATTCACTAATGTATCATCACAGTATCATATATTGCACAGGTGCATTCACTGATGTATCATCACAGTACATCACAGATCATATATTGCACAGGTGCATTCACTGATGTATCATCACGGTACATCACAGATCATATACTGGACAAGTGCAGTCACTGGTGTATCATCACAGTACATCACAGATCATATATTTCTCTTGCATTCATTGGTATTGATCCAAGATCCTTGTTATGCATGGCGTTAATGCTGTTTAGTTTGGCCAAAGGCAAAGCGGTCGTTCATCATCTCGAATGCCATCTCGACATTATTTGTTGTTGGTTCTTTGGACAATAGAATGTAACTTTGTCTTTGCACATTTGTGAATGCAAATTTTATGGCAAAATAGGAAATAAAGCAGGTTATTTTTAATCTGTTCATGATTGAGAAAGTGACAATATGTGGAAAAATTTCCCTTACGTATCGATCAAGTGATGTTTACCTGTATTAGGCTGTAAAATACAGCTAGGGTGATGGCCGTGCTTTGGGTATATAATATTGTGTGTTTGTACTCATCACACCGGCGATCAATAGACCTGGGTAAACAGATGTGTAAAATATCATTATTGTTTTCTTTTGAAATTGTTATCTGATAATTTCAGCTGTAGCCGTTATGTAGTGATTCAGTAGTAACAAACAGTGCAGTATGGATCATGGATAATATTTCGTTATTTCGACCCATATAATCCATATTTCGAAACTCACATACCAGTGTGCAATATTGATGAAACTGTACATTGTGTTGCACTGGTATTACTCGAGGCTGAATATTAAATGTTACGCAGACATCTCCTGTGAAATATTAGTATGGCATATGCCAGGTGGGAATCTTGGAACATTTATAGATCGCATTCCTTTGTTCAGTGGTTCTTGTTCAATCAACATAATGATCATCAACTCCTTGTGTCTGAAGGGATATAATTGAATGTGTTTGATGTTTGCCATCAGTTGAAACCAACTGGTTTTATATGGTGGCTATTGGTAGAGTCGGGTATTCGATCCGTTCGAATTGGTCCAAAGTATTTATTAAAATAACATGGAGATATATCCATGATGCTTCCGTTGTATCCGCCACCCATAGGAGTTGGTGGTTCGTCTCGCGCTCGTGGTAGTCAAGTTGGCACCTGTCATCTATACACACAAATATTACCAAATGAAAATGAGGCAATGTGGTAAAATGTAACATAATATTGCATTTGTATTGCAACAAAACCAGGGTATTTATCTGTTTGTAATACAGGTTGTAAGAGACGTCAGGGGTTCACGCCACAAACAGGGATATGAATAAGAAGGATATATTATCCCAGACAAACCAATATACACTTTAACTAGATTTGTGAGATGATGGTTTTACTATTGAATTTGTATTGCAACAAAACCAATGAACTGGGGGATATTATATTTCTCATTGTCATAGATTCTGACTATCATTAATTCAGTTTGACAATCTCAAACAAATACAAATATGAAATTATGAGCCCACCAATCTTTAGCGAGTACGGTCTTCTCCTGGTCCAATGGCGCTTCGATCATTCGTGTTTAAGATAAAATAGCAAACATTTCAGCCTGCTGTAATCTGGAGTAATATTTCACACAACAACAATAGTTATTTATACAAAAATTACGTCAAACCTATTTATCGTGACAGAGGCTTTCAATTCCCTTTAATCAACACAAAGATATTTTTGACACAGATGCTTTGAAACACTTTCAGTCCTCCTGACTGCTCCTGCGCCAATAGATATGCGAACATTTACAAATGTGTTGGTATGTGGTAAAAATAACAATACTGGAACTCCGTGGACGATACCGGCTTGAAAATGGCTCTTGTAGTTTTGAATTTTAACATTACGACATACAAAACAGAAGGTAGTACCTAATAGTGATTTAGGGTTAAAATTCTGAATTGCTACAGCCAGAGCAATATTGAGCTTTCTGCCATGCCGTGACACATTTACTATAGCAGAAACAAACTCTGACTATCATAATATAAAAGAATCAGATGTTCTTTAACTCCTTTGAGTGGTATATATGAATCTGGCTACCTACCCACGAATAGTGACTTCTTGCATCTAAGATACACAAACCTGTATCAATAGGTAATGAAGGACAACCAAGCAAGTCACCTTACTTTACAGCAAACTTTCTCTTCGTTCTGTTTTACGGGTTGGATACGTTCTAGAATCCAAAAGCTTAATTAATTAATTTATTACCAATCGGATGTGTATACGCGGTACTTGATTTGACAAAAATTAACATGGCCTCTTATCTGTATTATACGTGCACGCCAAATGAACGTGTATTCATCCTCAGTTGTGGGGTTACGTTTAAAACAAATTGTTTCACAAAGGTCAACATTTGGTATATAACTATTTTGTTGCGCTCTTTACCTTTTTGATCATTTGTTCTTACATTTGAGCCTTCGATAATCGAGAGTAATATTTATCGCAATAACAATAGTTTATTGCACAAAAATAACGTCAAACTTATTTTCATGACAGAGTACTGTGAATCCCCTTTAATCAATACAAAGATATCTTTGACACAGATGCTTTGAAACACTTAAAGCTTACGAAATGTCGCATCGATTAAGTTGAAACGGTTCAATTGGTGGAATAGGTATTGTTTCCTCTGGACGGAGAGGTAAATATGGATGGAGGATTACTGCTCGATATGGTTCAGCTGTTTGTCAGCTCGGTGTGTAAGTACATCAATCACCCCTTAAAATCGATGGCACCTATCAGACTGCCACTTACTGCCCATTATCACCTGGATCGAAAACATCTCATGAACGTTTGCATTAATTTACGCGTAAATAGTGTTATGTTGTTTCATGTTTTCCTGCATTCAGATGGTAGCGTTCATATGATGCACTGTTACATAATCTGAAGGTCTTTCAAGTGTTCAAAGATGTGGAAGGTCAGTATAATTATCTTAACACATCTGTATATTGTTCCATATCTTGACCATAGAGTCATGGAGGCTATCTATCATTTTCACCTCCTTGGTGAAAATTGATTGTTGGTTTATACTATTACAGATTTGATATTGGGCATTACTAATATAATCACGTCATGAAAATAAAAGCAAAAAAAACCTATTTTCATAATCAGAAGAAGCTCTGCCAAAAGCAGCGTCAATTGTATGATTTCGACTATATCATAAGCATGTGTTTATGAATCACTAATAGTGATGATACCAGGTGTTCATGAAAAGGTGGTAACGGAGGCATCTGTCACAAACTCATGCAAAGGCCAGGCAGTTGTTCACATGAAGAAACACGGGAACAATCGGCACAAGTCAAAATAGGGAACAGCATCGGACATCATTTTGTCACTGGTGCGCCAAATCTGCAAAATGTCCTCCACATAATGCCTACCATAAAGCTTTACCAAAACCTTGAATGTTGGAACCCTGATCAACATATTTCCTATTTTCAGGTCTGTGATCTTCTATTGGGCGTCATGCTGATATTTTCTGGCAAGTCAATTAAAAACTGTCGGGGCCAACTGTTTAATATTATAAAGGGGGAGGGGGAAGGGGGGGGGGGGGGGGGGGGGGTAGGGGAAGGGGGGGAGTAGGGGGGAGTGTGTGTGTGTGGGGGGGGGGGGGGGGGGACTGCACCCTATTTTTGTCCGTCAATGCTACAGGACATAGTTTGGGGCTTCGAAAGGAGTACCGAACAATTAGTTCTTTCACAGCACATTTGTCCAGGACATCGAGCGATCATTTGTTTTCTTTGGTAAAATATTTCCCAGTCATTTACGCATATATTGGTTTTTAGTTACGGATTGTAAACATTCTAAATATAATTCACTTATTTGTTTCATCTATAATAGCAAATGTATGTTTTGGCATATATTTTAATAAGCACGGTAGTTCTTCATAATAACGCTTCAACTAGTGTATTTTGTCGTTACTATTAAGGCGCTGCTGCTGAACAGGACCAAAGAGGAACAGAGTTTATGCTGTCATTTATATACCCCAAGTACGATGATGGTAATCCCATCCTCCTTATCTCAGCTGAAGATAGAGCCTATGTCACAATCACCATCCCACTTCTGAGTCAACGCCTCACAAAGGACATAGCACCCGGGGAAACATGGAAGCCTCACCTACCCACAGAGTTGAGGTACACTGATTATTTTACAACTGTAGCATCTGCCGTGAATGTTACTTCCACATCACCTGTGACGGTCTACGTCTACGATGGGTATAAACGCAGATCCTCTGGATACATGGCACTCCCCCTACACGCGCTGTCCACGTCATATGTCGCCGTTACATACAGTGGTGAGATAGAGTCTGCTTATCCTGTGTTACTTCTTGTTGCCATCATGGATGACACCGCAGTGGACGTTTTGTACAGGCTTTCCAGTGGTGAATGTGATGAACGTACAACTGGGGAGTCTTCTCGCCATACCCTCCAAGCGTATGACGTTTATGGTCTACGATGTACTGGGGACTTCACGGGGACGTATGTTGTGAGTAACAAACCTTTCGTGGTTATCTCTGGACATGAGAATACGCAAATAAGTGGAAATTATAAAGATACTGTTCAAGAGATGTTGATTCCTGTTGATCAGTTTGGTCTGAGTTATGTCCTGATAAGTCATTATGGCAGCTCAAGAGGAACCATTGCCAGAATCGTTTCATCCTCTGACAACACTCAGGTCGTGTCCAGTACCGGAGCTACCTTCCCACTAAATGCATACGATTATGTAGACATTGACACGGATGAAAGTGGGCAGCAATGTATACACTCAAATTATCCAGTCCTGGTAGTTTCCTTCGGTAAGTCAAAAATTGGGGGAAGTGACAAGTTGAATTTTGACGCAGCAATGTATCTCGTACCCGCAACCAATATGTTCACCACAAGCATCTATATTGACTATGGACTAGCTGCTGAGTTGCACATAAATGAATCTGTGTCTATCGCCATTGTGTTTCACAGAGAGGATACTCCCGACTTTTCAACTTTTACAACTGTCCACGAGGTCATCTCAAGCTGCCCTTATCATGTATACACAATGACAGTAACAGCATGGCCAGTTGCGATTTCTGGTGGTTCTGTCAAATTTGGTGCTTACCTCTACGGGAGCAACGTGGTCAGGCACAATGGAGTGGCTTTTCCTCTCAATATGGCCTTTGGTAAGACATGACTTTAAAATGCTTTTATGTCTTCACGGTAATGTTGATGTGAACTAGAACTAGGCTCGGTTGCATTGACTGTCATTCAAACACCCCCTATCTCCTGAAATGATTTTTCTTTTTCTTTTAGCTTGACTCTTTTTTACTGGATTCTACAGTTCCGTAAAAAGCCATTTAAAAAGAGATATATATTGCTGGGTTCAAGAAATCCCTGTTATACAAATAAAGGATTTTTACTTTTCACAATCAGAGAAACGAACCGAGAGAATCAAGGCAATGTGTCAAAAATGAAAGCAAATGTCATCTGAAAGTTACTGAGTAAAAATGCTGGACTTCCTCATAGACAATACCAATGTGAAACATAGGGTAAAGACATTTAGACAAGAAGTAGGCATCCCCATGGACGCCAATCGTATTACCCTTCTAGCTGATCTGTTTCGTTGTGCATATGAATCGGAATTTCATGTCAAATTCAAAACAAGGTTATTTGGCACTGAAGTTTAACTCAGGCTTCAGGTATTTCAGAGATCTGGTATCGTTCAATAATTAATACCATCAAATAGATAATTCCCTTCCACTAATTTCACCGTCTGAACTAGAAAAATGAGACTAGAGAGACTGACTCATCTGTTTCATTTTTAAATCTGTGCATAAAGATTGAGAGTGAAAAAACACTATCCAAAAGACTGTATGACAAGAGGGGTGAATTCAACGTCCCCTTATTGTGAACTTTCCCTTTATATCGAGACTTATTCCTGCAGTTCCGACTGTTGGTGTCTTCAATTCGTAAGGTTCGATCGAACATGCACTTTCTACCAAGATTTTAAAGAATGTCATACAACTCCAGCTCAGAGGTTCATTGATCAGAGTTACAACATTCAAGGCTTCAGTAAAGCTTTCAAAAAGTTTTATGCTTGACATGTGGAGTACATTTCTAAATTTGAAGCATCAGTGACATATATTATGTCCGATGCAATTTCCTTTTTTGACTTGTGTCATATGTTCCCGTGTTTCTTTATGTAAACAATTGACTGTGACTTGCATGTGTTTGTGACGGTGTCACCATTGGGGCAGGATACGCTCACCTTTTCGCGAACACCTAGTATTATCACTATTTGATAGTGATTCTTAAAAAAAACCATGCTCATGATATAGTCGAAATTGTACTATCGACTCTGATTTTGGCAGAGATTGCTTATGAATATGGAAAGGCTTTTGTCGGGGGTTTTTAATGTTGATAAATAAATTCATGATTTCCCCGATTACAAAGTTTGAATGTTATATAATTTAGAGTTAGAGGTATCCCATATTTGAAATAATGCTCAATATTTATGATTTAAAGCAATTGTAAAATCTGCGTGAATATTAAATATATATTTGATTGGTTTTCATACGATTGGCGTCCTGAAAATACAATAAACTGAGCTGATTGCTAAAATGATTCATCTGTTGTTTTTCACAGCCAGTGGACTTGTGTCAACTTCCCTTTCGTCCTTACTTACAACTGAATCAAGTACCCGCCAGCCTTCGTTCTTGTCCCAGGTTCCGGATTTAACATCACCCATCGATGGCATTCAACCTTCGTCTTTGTCTCAGTTTTCGGAGTTAACATCAACAACAGATGGCATTCAACCTTCATCTGTGTCTCAGGTTCCGGAGTTAACATCAATCACCGATGAATTCCATCCTTCGTCTTTGTCTCAGTTTCTGGATTTAACATCACCCACCGATGGCATTCAACCTTCGTCTTTGTCTCAGTTTCTGGATTTAATATCACTCACAGATGGCATGCAATCATTCTCTAACTTAATAGGAGATAACGAGTTCACATCATCAATGTTTCACAGCATGACATCACACACACATTCCAAACGGACGTCCTCTGCCTCCATGAATATACAACCTACAGGTACACAACAGCAATCCAGCATACCAGACATGCCTCTGACATCGGCAGTTCAGGTATCTCCTTTGCCATATTCCACGTCGCATTCGTCATTTGAAACACATTCTCCAAGCACCTTACTTCCTGTCACACGAACAGATGAGACCAGCACCAGTGCATCTGAACAAGGGTGTGTTTGTCTGTGCAAGGTCCAAGCCCCGTGGAACATCACAGAGAAGCTGATTAAGAAGGTACGGGAAGGCATAAAGGACCTGCTTCTTTTGGACACTACGAAACTCTCCAAGACTATAAGGAAGCGTACGAGTGCTCATGACAACAGACCATGTGCCGTCACTTTAGGATCTGTCGGAATAACCTTCCTTCTTCTTACGGTAGTTGTCATTTTTGTTCCGGATGTAATGTCTGCTCTGAGATTTATTTGTACTGAAGCCCGAGACCGCCCCAAAGTTTTGCAGTTTGTTCGCAATGTAAAATAGTTTATCTATGTCTTTGCAAAGACAAATATCTTCAGGTGATTATGGGCGTGAACAGTTGGGGAGATATTTCAAACAAACTGCTTTATAAGTACAACATTAAAACTAAGATCCCGAAATGAGAAATGAATTCGTTCAGCATTTGTTTTTCACTATTTCCTCAACCTGTCACCACTACAATGGATGATCTTATGTTGATTTCCAAGACATAACAACACATATCAAATTAAATATATATCATGAAGTGTTATTTCATCTATTCTTTATAAAAATATACACATTGTGTAACCATTATTGTGAACAACATATGGTCAAGGATAAAAGTAAATAACCTTGAGTGAGTGAGTGAGTGAGTTGTGTTTAACGCCGTTTTTAACAATATTCCAGTTATATCACGGCATGTCAGCTTGATGTGGGAGGAAAGCCCGAAGTGATGCAAGTCTCAGACGTTTACCACTTCGGTGAAACCAACGAGCACGGGTATGGTGCTGACAAACCTAGAAACATAATCGGGGCGAACCGGGATTCGAACCCACAATCATAGGTTTCTGGCGTGCCCAAGGGACGCAACTCTGCACAGCGAATTGCGTCGTCTTAGACGACTGGGCCACCCGTGCCCCCATATAACCTTGAACTTGAGTAATATGTGTTATATGTTTCACAACCTGTGACCCTTTTTCGGGGCATCTAAGATCGCTGACCGATGTACCCATGTCTAATTATGCATTCCAAAAGACTACCGTTTTCAAACAATGGTAGAATGGAGATAAACCCACTATGTTTTGAACGTTGATGTAGTCCCATTGAAGATGAGATATCTGAGGCTCTTATTTGAATTTGAAACCGAGCGCTTGTATAAATAAGAGCTATCTCTTCTACAGTAGGACTACATCAACTTTCAAAACACATTTTATGTATCTTATAATTATGGTGACAAGTGGTTTAGTGAGTGAGTGTGTTGAGCTTTACGCTCCTTTTAGCAGAATTCCTGCAATGTGTAGGGGACACACAAATGCACTTCATCCATATTTACTATCTCTTTGACGGTAATGCCCACAACCTCCTGAGATTGATTTAATACCCGAGTTTAATCTCCGGCACAGATGGTTTTTATGAGATATATATATGCATTTAACTCTATAGTTATGCATTGTGTCAGCAATGCTGCTATGAACATCTTACGGATTCTAGATTATAATCCGAATGTACATTGTTGATGTCAAATATCCGTGGAAAATGGCTCAATAAAGCGACAAAGCCATTTTCATTATGATAATATGCGTGACGAAGATCATTTCCAGAAGCTAGCTGGTAAGGGTTGTTTCTGCTCACGTGTATCGTCACGCACGGGCCATTAAGCGAAATTCCTGCATATTCATTGTCCGAAGGACGAGAAGGAATGAAACAGCAAACGTGCAGGCTCGCTCGCCTGTTTTTTCCCTCTCGCCTCGGTTCCACAACTTTAAATGCATGACTTCGGGTTTCATTTCTAACTAGCATTTTTCCAGCTGTGTCTTCCCGTTCTCAGGGAACTAATGTTTGAATCTGGCGGTAACTGACATGTCATTTGAATCAGCCGCCTTCTCCCGGACATATTTGTTCCGGTTCGTTACAGTCTGACTGTTGCAGTTCTTCTCGCCTCTTGCCTTCATTGACAGGTCCTATGAACTCCTATGTTGTTTATCATACTCTCCGTCGATTGGCTACTGACTTTGTAGGCGTGTCATGTTCTTTGCACAAATTAAACAGACACCTGATTCATGTCACGCCACAGTATGTATTCCTACACCCGGAATGTTTATCAATCTCGCCCTTTTTTGTCTGCTTTGATATATACAGCTGTTTTTGGTTAAACTATTGTAGATAAAACATGTTTTCGTTGTCGAATTTAATTATAAGCATTGACTGCATATTGTTTTCGGTTCATTGAGGTATGAATCGAAAAACCAATGTGCAAACTTTGTAAGAATCCGCTACGCGGATTAAAACAGTTTGCACATCGGGTTTTTTATTCATACCTCAATGAACCGAAATAAATACACAGTCAATCCTTAAGTAGAGGTGGTAAAAACATGGTATTTATATGTTCAGAGTGCATGTAGGTTATCACGTGATGAGATGAGAGTTCATTATTGAAGAATTTGGGAATTGAGTGAAGTCTGTGTTCATTGACAGCAGGATTTGTATCATACACGGTTGTAAATATTTATGCTTCACTTGCACCCAACAGCATCGGTATCTACTCCTCACAACAATGAATACACTACTTCCTTGCGACAAGTCTAGACACTACTACAAGCTGGCCAGTCCCTTAACGATATATTTTGTAAACTGATTTTCAGTTTAAGATCAGATTGCTTGATTATAGAAGTTTCGAATCTGCTGAATATTAGCTGAAGTTGTACACTTGTCAATCAATGTTTGTTTGGTGTTTTTTTTAAATACAAAAGTATACAAAGTATTTTTATTGTAAGCTTCAGCTTTGTGTCTAACGGTATGCAGAACTAACTCCGTTTATTCGTCAAGGAGGGCGAGTTTGTCTTATTGTTACATCGTTCACGCAACACGTGAAAGGCCCTGGTCTGATTCCAGACATGCTAGCAATGCACAAGGGGTAGCCTAGTGGTTAAAGCGTTCGCTCCTCACGCCGAAGACCTGTGTTCGATTCCCAACATGGGTACAATGTGTGAAGCCCATTTCTGGTGTCCCCCGCCATGATATCTTGAATATTGCTAAACTACTGCGTGGTTTTACTATGCTCACTCGCCCATAGCAATGCACAAAGCCCATGTTAATACGCGATGTGAAATATTACTGAAATAAGGATAAAAGTGGTGTAAAACCATACCCCATTGACTGATAAACATATACATGTACTAGTACACGGGGAGACAAGTCCTGTCATTAGTATCATGATTTCTGACATGTACATCAATGAACAACACAAACCCCTTTGCTCACCGTGAAGCATACATTATTACGTGTTTTAACAGGCCCTGAGACAATGAGATGAAGTACGGTTGTGACTATGTTCTTGGAAACACAGGGCGCGGCAGGAACCTGGCTGTTACAAGTTGCACAGATATGTGTGGTATTTCCCGGGACATGATGACGGTAACTTCTCGCTGATTTACTGCAGTATCACAAACAAAACGTGTGAACACGTATCGTAGTATCGTACGTGGCGTGTAGGACGGTGAACTGACTGGTGATGGCAACGCATTAATTTGATAAGGAATAGGGAATTTGTTTCCTTCGATAGTAGTAGTAGTAGTAGTAGTAGTAGTAGTAGTAGTAGTAGTAGTAGTAGCTTTATGACGGCGGTCTGTAAATAATCGAGTCTGGACCAGACAGTCCAGTGGTTGACATCATGAGCATCGATCTAGAAAATGGGAAACGATGACATGCATCAACCAATTCAGCGAGCCTGACCACCTGATCCTCTTTGTCGCCTCTTAGGACAATCATAGTCGCCTTTTTACGTCAGGCATGGATTGCTGAAGACTTTTTCTAACCTTGGTCTTCACGGGGCAGTACTAGTAGTATATAAACCATTTCAATAATATAGTGTGTCAAGAGTATTACATTAAGTATATTTCTATCCATAAGTTTCGTGTAGCGTTAGCAAAGTTCAGATGTAGTTCTCACCAACTAAAACTTTTGACTGTCAGATATGCAAATGTTCCAAGAAATGAAAGGTTTTGCAACGTTTGTGAAAAAGGTTTCGTTGACGATGAGTATCATTTCTTGCACGGTGTATGCCGAATTGCGTGGACAATACATTCCAAGAAACTACTATGTATTTCCTACATTACATAAATTCAATGTCTTGATGTCAAGTGATAAATTAATATCATAAGAAATTTGGCTGTGTATATTTATAAGTCTATGCAATTAAGGACAAAACTGCTGATGTAAATTTCTATTACAATAAAGGCTGCTGTGCAACTGCTGTGACATGGGCCGATGGCCTACGTAACCTTGCTGAATAAACATCAACATAATATAGGTGAAAGCAGCAATGCAGGGTTCCAAGCGTCAGTCGTTCTTACTGCCTTCATCATGGTTGGCGTACATGGATATCATTTCTGCCTTCATCATGGTTGGCGTACATGGATATCATTTCGCATGGTCTCACATTTGGTTAATCAGAAAACAAAAGCACTGAACCAATATTCTTCATCGGTTTTGCTCTTTTAGGTAGCCTTAATGTATAACTACGTCTTGTCTTATAACGTCAAGTCAACAATACCAAGAGTATAATAATAACTAGAACACCTGCATTTTCTCAGTCAGCTTGCTTATAAACATAACGACTTCCGGTTCCGAATCTGTCACTTTCTGTTTCGGAAAACGTACGTATTGTTTACTTTACCCCTATCTCAAACCAGAGAGTCCCAAGGTTCTAGCTCAGTTTATAACAGAGTTATCAGTACTTCCTGTTTTACATTGGTCATTTCCCATTTCGGAAAAAAAAATCTTACTGCCTAAGACTTTAAGTCTGAATGTTCAATGGTTCTAGTTCTTTTTTTATAACAAGACTATTACTATTTCGTGTTTGGATTATTCAACTTTTTTAAAACATTCTTTCTGTTCTTCAATCTGAAAGATCCACGAATCTAGCTCAGCTGTAAATGTCGTGTTTACATCTACTCCTTGTATGCCAGAACACCGTTTAAAAACCTGACCCGTGAAGATCCGGGGTAGAATAGGTCTTCAGCAACCCTTGCTTTCCATAACAGGCGACTATGCTTGTCGCTAGAGGCGACGAACGGGATCGGGTGGTCAGGATCGCTGACTTGGTTGATGCATGTCGTATCCCAATTGCGTGGATCAATGCTTAATCACTGGATTGTCTGGTCCAGACTCGATAATTTACAGACGCCGTCATACAGCTGGAATATTGCTGAGTGTGCCCTTAAACAACAAACAAACAAACTTAAAAGCCTCCAGTAACGCCTTTCCTTTGTACTCCGAAATGGATAAATCGCCAAAGGACACCTTTTCGCAACGCATGCAGGATATCATAAACATCAATCCACTACGTCGGGGTGCGTATTCTTCATCTGATCTGAGAAACATAGCTGATTCATCACGTGTGTTCAAAATGATTTTTCAGAAGGATCAAATACAGTTTGAGAGGGGGAGCTAAA